CCAGTAGTGACACTGTAAAAATATTTTCTGGGGTGAAGACATCAGATGTCTTCAGTCTTATACTGCATAGCATATTAAAAGCAAATGTATATTTCTAAAACAACACATATGGTGATACGGCATTTTTATTTTGCTTTTGAAGAGATTAAATACAGTACATGTTGAAATATACAAAACTTTTCCTTTACCTGTGTTTTTTTGACATTGTGTGGCCCTCTGCAATTAAAAACAAAAAAAGAGAAGAGTCAGAAGAACCTTAGAACAGTGTAAGTTATTTTGCAAGACACTTATTTACTTTGCTTATTTATTTATAAGGGCCCTGATTCTGTAAAGTACTATTCAAACTCAATTCCCAACAGCTTTTGGTTCCAGTCTAAGAGGTTACTGACCTACAAAGCACTGACTATCCTAGGATCATCTTACCTGAAGCACCACCTTACTTTCTCACACCATACTGCTAACTGTTGAAATCAAAGACACACAAGTGGCAGCTACCTTGGTATATCAGAGAGCTAAGGAGAGAGCATTCTCCTTTGGGTCCCTCAAGACTAAAAATTCACTTTTCTTTCCTTTAATCTACCTAGTTCAAAAAAATCCAGATTTGTTGACCTTCAAGACACTCCACACAGCCCACCTTTTAGAACAGGCATTTGGGAGAAGACTGAAGGTTTGGTTTCTTACAAATGTTTGTAATATATATTTGCTGAGGGGGCCAATATTTGTTTTTTGGAGTGGAGCAGAAAGAGAGGGAAAAAGGAAACACATGTAATATAATTTCCACAACAATAAGGGAGGAAGAGAATTGAGCCTGGCATGTGCACACTTAGGCTATGTCTACACGAGAGACCTTACAGCAGCAGAGCTGTACCAATGCATCTGTGCCACTGTAAGATCTTTTGTGTAGCCGCTCTATGCCAGTGGGAGAGAATTCTCTCATTGGCATAATTAAACCATGTCCAACGAGCGGCAGTAGCTTTGTCAGTGGGAGAAGATCTCTCATCAACATAGTGCTGTGCACTTATGTCAGCGAAACTTATGTCATTCAGGGGGGTGTTTTTTCACACCCCTGAGCGACCTAAGTTTTGCAGACAGAAGTGGTAGTGTAGACATGGCCTTAGAGACAACTCAGATTGCAAAGACGTAATTCCTTTATTTCAATCTCTACAAAACAATGCATGTTAATAACGCTAGAGGTGGGACCCCAGGGCAGAACTTGGCCAACTGCTGTCATTTTACCTCAAGTATACTTTAAAGTCAACAGTGATATGCTGAAGAGGTACAAGAGTACTGTTAAAAGAGCTTCAAACTGTATTCTCTTCACAATATTTTTTGGCCACTGAGCTTATCTGTCACTATGAAATGGAAAACTATTTCTCTTTGATTGTATCCCACAAATATTCTTTGGAACAGCAAGGTTAAATTAAGGAAATCATACCATGCAAGACAGTTATTAGATACCTTATGTAATTTTTTCTTCCATTCGTTAATGTTTTTTTCTGACATATCACCCCATAGCTGTGGTCCTAGATATAACAAAACAAATTACTACAAACATTTTGCATACATTACAGTATAAGTCTATGTTGAATAATCTCTCTGTATTTAAGGAGTGTGTGTGAGGCAATGAAAATACCATCAAAACCAAACTACACCTGCAGGTCATTTACGCTGTGTGTTGGCCAGCAATTTATATGAAAATGACTTCTTTAATGCAGTTCTATGTTTGAGATTAAATTGAATACAGTCAGTAAATTCAAAGTTAGTTTCCTTAATAACACAACTCAGCTCCATTGCATGTTATGGCCCTGATCCTACAAAGACCTAAGCAAGCAGCTAACTTTATATGTGAGTAGTCCCATTAAATGCACCAAGCCTATGTGGAGTGTACAGCAACTCGGATGTTTAAGTCTTCGAAGGTCTTGGACCTATATATAGTGTTTCCTATAACGTGTAAACAGATGTTACAAAAACCAGACACATTACCAGACATTGCAAATTCACACATTCCAAGTGGCAAAAATGTAAACACAAAAAATCCAACACTAATCCTTAACTCCTGAAAATATATTTAATCATATTAAGATTGTAAAAGCCTTTAAAAATACACAACCTAATTCTGGACCTGGGACTACATAATAGTTGGTATTTTTGTAGCATTTTACATATGTGTACAATAGTTAAGTTAACCTTGTTAAGGCACTTAGGTATCAATCCTCATTTGACAGGTAGGAAGCTATAGCAGAGCAGTTCTTGGCTCCAAGTAACATGTTCAAACCATTAGACGACAATGCCTATTAAATTGCAGACCATATGGCATTTTAGAGAGATCTCAGCCTTTTAGGTTAGAATCTCCTCATATACATGCAACCCTTCTGACAGATGACAACTTTTATGAGACCCTGGAAAAACATGTACTCCCCCAATCTCAGTACAGTAACTGAATTAACCATAGGTTTCAGAGTAGCAGCCGTGTTAGTCTGTATCCGCAAAAAGAACAGGAGTACTTGTGGCACCTTAGAGACTAACACATTTATTTGAGCATAAGCTTTCGTGGGCTACAGCCCACTTCATTGGATGCATCCAGTGGAAAATACAGTAGGAAGATATATATATACACACAGAGAACAT